TCACCCACGCTCGCCCTACTCAACACCTCACCAGCCTACCACCACTATGTGCATCACTCCCTCTGCTGTGTTTTCTGCTGTTTTTCGTGTGATTCATTGCCAGAGCTGTGTATCAGAGTGCCCGAGGCCACTCGAAGCCATGTGGATCAGCATGCCACATAGATCAGCAAGCCATGTGGATCAGCAAGCTACGTGGATCAGCAAGCCCCATGGATCAGCATGCCACGTGGATCAGCAAGCCCCATGGATCAGCATGCCACGTAGATCACGACGCCATGTGGATCACGACGCCACATGGGGTGTGGGCGATGTCACGTGGATCTACAAGCCATGTGGGTTACCAAGCCAGATGTCCCAGGCCTCATGCTGTGGTCTGTTGCCCGCATCACTTTGACGTCACTGATGTTGCTACCCAACTTCACATCACCGCCGATGCTGCCCAACTTCAGGGCTACAGTCTCCGACATCACCTTAAATTTGTTCTGAATCACGGGGGCTGCTGATGTCACCTGAAACATCACGCCTGACATCACACATGTCACATCGAGTGTATTTAGTAATTATTTCAGTACTGTTGAGAAGATTGAGAGAAGATATATGTCGTGTGTTAATTAGTCCCTCTCAGTCAGTTTTTCCACTGTTTTAAAAGTTTAGTTCATTTTGTGCACAGAAAGCTCTTTTGCTAGTTTAAGCCTGTTGTACCGCGGGTGTGTGTAAATTTTCCGTCATTTAAAGGGAAAACCCCGGGCACCGTTAAAGTTCAATTTGTCAGGCCCAAACACGCACCCCCCCCACCCCCACCGTGTATTTATCCAACCTATTTTTAAAACTACAAAAGTCAAGCTTCTAAATGTCTCGGGAGTTTGTTCCACTCATCCAAACCATGCTTTCCTTTTCCTTCCGAATCTGATTTTTTCCCAATTTAAAACCATTGCTCGACCCTATTTTTGATATTTTTGACGCTATTACTCCCCTTTATTAATTCCTGTTTTCCATTTTTACCCCCAATCAATCTCCTTTCTTAAGTGCAAAATCCAGGGCCCTGTCATCCCATAGGGAAGGTTTTCTGATACATGGATAAATTTTTGTCACCCCCTTTTTGTACTTTTTCCCTGCTTAATCCATTCTTAAAACGGTGCCAAATAGCGCATAGTCTAAATGAGCCCAACCAAAGATATATAGATTTGGAACAACCGAGAAATTCTTTATTTATCTTTTGCTAAGAAGCCAAATTCTGTTGCTTTTTTGCAAACGCTTAGCACGTTTTCTTGGTTTCAGATTACTGAAACCAGAACCCAAATCCTTTTCGCAAACTGTAATATTAGATCTCATTATTAAATTAAAAAGTGGATGGTTATTTTCCTGTCCAACATTTAGAACTTAGCATTTGTCTAATTAAAAAAGCATCTTTCACCTCCACCACTGCATCAGTCATCAAATCATCCTAGAATGCTCTTCCTTATTTGGGAAAGAATTGAACGCCATCACAAATTTTCTTATGTACATTCATTCCTCATCTATGTGCTTAATACTGAGAACGCAAGGGGCCCCAAAATGAACCCTGAGGAACACCGCTTGTGACGTGCCCCCATTCTGATTTCTCCCCATTTATGCAAACTTTGCTGCCTATTTGTCAACCATGCCTCTACCCAGGAAAAATTTTTTCCTATTCCATGAAGCTTAAGTTTTCTCAACAGCCTCTAATATGGAACTCTATCGAAAGCCTTACTGAAGTCCATATACACAATATCATATTCAATACCATGATCTACCTCCTCAAATACCTTAGTGAAGAAAGTTAGTAAATTCGTAAGACAGGAACGCCCCTTTGTAAAATCGTGCTGAGATTCATTAATCAAGTTATGCCTTTCAAGATGGCTACGAATTGCTTCGGCAAATATTGATTCCATAAATTTACCAACTATGGAGGGAAGGCTTAATGGTCTATAGTTCGAAGCTAAGGACCTGTCACCTGCCTTGTAAATAAGTATTACATTTGCCATTTTTCCACTTCTCTGGCCCTATGCCAGTTGGTAGTGATATATTGAAAAGATTATTATTATAATCAAAGGGGAAACGCTAAACCCGGAGAATTATACAGCGCCTGGGGGGGATGATGTGGAAGGCATTCAGGCTTAATTTGGGGAACTGGAGCACAGATCCAATTCCCTAAATCAAGAGCCCCTCACCAACATCAAGGAACCTTCCTTGAGGGGTTGAAAAGATTAGCCAAAGGTATGCTAAGTTCCTCTTTACATTCCTTTAAAACCCTTACAAACAGTTCATCAGGACCTGGGGATTTGTTAGGTTTTAATTTCTCTATTTGTCTGAGGACCATGTCACTAGTTTCCTTAATCGTGCATAGTTTATCGTCCTGTTCTACATAATTTATTATTTCTGGAATTTCGCTAGTATCTTCCCGAGTAAAAACTGAGAGGAAGTAGGTATTGAAAAGTTCACACATTTCCTTACCACTGTCAGTGATCTGACCTGAGTTACTCTTAAGTGGACCTATCTTGTCCCTAATCTTACTTCTGTATACCTGAAAGAACCCTTTTGTGTTAGTCTTCGAATCCTTTGCGACTTTAGCGTTACAATCCCCCTTTCCTTTTCTTATTCCTTTCTTTATTTAATTAAATATATTGATTTCTTAACTGCCCTTCCCCTCTTTTGATACGCCTATATATGCCTCTCTTTTGACCAACGAGATATTTTAATCTATTGTTTATCCATTTGGGATCGTTTTTGTTAGATCTGATTTCCCTACTCGGGACAAAAGTTGTCTGGGCAGCCAGCACTTTGCTCTGAAATACGTCATATTGGCAAACAACCCTACATACCTGACACATAGTAAGGTCATCCCAATTTAGCCCACTCAGGTAATTTCTCAGTCCCATGAAGTCAGCCAAGCGGAAATCTGGTGCAGCGACTTGATTGCAGTTATCTGGGCAATTCCACGACATATTGAAAATAAGTGATTTGTGATCACTTTCCCCTAGCTCATCACTAACCTCAAGATTATTAACTAGTGATTCTTTGTTGGCAAGAACCAAGTCAAGCAAATTGTCTTCTCTAGTTGGTTCTGTCACAAAGTATTTTAAAAAGCAGTCTTGAACCGTATCAAGAAAGTCACTAGCCTCAAGATTTCCTGTCACATTGTTCCAATCAATTTGTCTAAAGTTAAAATCTCCCATTAACACAACACTTTCATATCTAGATGCCTTATGAATTTCGTCCCATAGCAGCCTACCGCACTCCCTATCAAAGTTTGGGGGCCTATAAATCACGCCCAAAATCAATTTTTCACGACCCCGAGAAACTGTAGCCAAACAGATTCTGTGCCCGATGTTTCTAATCTTACATCTTGTCTAACACAACAATTTGAATTATCTCTGACATATATTGCCACTCCACCATTCCTGTTGACCCTATCAGTGTGCAACAGTTTATAACCCTGTATGTTGCATTCAGAAGGCATTTCTCTATCTTTCAAGCTGAACCATGTCTCTGTTATAGCAATATCTATATTACCTGCACTTGCAAGTAATCTTAGCTCATCTATCTTATTTATTAGACTACTTGTAAAGTAAACCTTGAGGGAGCTAATCACTTGATGCCCTCTACTATCTCTGTTTGTTGAGCAATTACTTTGCCTTTACTAGCAACTTTATTTTGAATATTGTCTTTTAAACATATCCCTGAGGTATCCTGGTAATATCTGATGTTTTCAACCCTAATACTGCAGCCTGATTGTTTCCCACAAACACCCATACCTCTATAATCTATCAGTTTAAATACCTACACAAGTCATCAGTGACTCCCTCAACTGAATTGGCTAATGCAACCACTCCAGCCCCAGAGAGATGAACATCATCCCTTGCATACATATCATGCTTGCCATAGGATTTGTCCCAGTTATCAGTGAATGGGATTGCAAGTTCCTTGCAGGACCTGTCTAGCCAGCAATTTATACCAACTCTCCTAGACATCCATTCTTTGCGCACTCCCCTTCTAGGCAAGATGCTACATATGATTGGGATCCCTCCCTCAGACCTGACTACTTCTATGGCTGACCTGTACTTATCCAGCAACTCCTGTCTCCTGCTCTTCCTGATGTCATTTCCACCAGCACTAAGACAGATAATGGGCTTGTTCCCATTACCTGACATAATATTATCCAACCTGCTGATTATGTCATCAACACCAGCTCCTGAGAGGCACACCCTCTGTCTGACCTTCCTATCTCTGTTACAAAAAGCACAGTCCATATATCTTACCTGAGAATCTCCTACAATTAGAATATTCTTACCTTGATTAGCAGGGGAGTCAGTGATACCTTTAACCTCACTAACCACTGAAGAGCACTCGTCCTGGAGAACAGAGAATAGATTTCCTACCTTCACATCTTCTCTATTAACCTTCCTTATCTTCCTTCTTCCTGAACTGTGAACCACTTGCCACTTAAAGTGGCTGCAACTCTTTAGCTCACTGCTGGTATCCTTTTCCCCACAAGCTCCCACCATTTCACACTCACTCCCAAACCCATCTAGGCAAAGCTTCAGCCTCCTATTTTCCTCCCGAAGTAGAACCTCATTCTTCAACACTTTAACCTGAGATTCCAAAACACTACCTTCTCAAGAGCATTCTTCTTCCTTAAAGTGTGCCCTTATTGAAGCCAAGGTGTCCTCCACTAAATCTTAGTCTACCAAGTCCTAACCCTTTCCCTTATTACACTCCCAGAATAATAGCTGGCTAATCCGCGGAAAACCTACTTTCCTTAATGCCCTCAGGCCCCAGAATGCAAAGTTCTTCCCCAGAATACATTTTTTCACACACTCCTGGTGAAGTTAGTTTGTTCGGCATTAAGGTTAGTTTCTGCATGAGGGTCATTAAGGGTCATTAACATGAAGAATACACCGATACTTAAAAATAAAGAAAATTCTTCGTATATGTACAGCTATAGAGGTGTATGTATGTCCGTCTGTTTCTCACTCACTCACCTGCTAGACATCATCGTGCTCGTGCAGTAGGGGTCGAGAGGCAGGTGCGTCTTGTGAAGCGTCACAGGAGGAGTGTGGGCAGGCGTGTAGGTCCAGAGCACACGACCCCCCACCCACGCCAGTCGCTGACGTTGGTGTCATGGGCGTCAGGGGAGACATAGGGGTGACAGGCGTCAGGGGCGTCACTGTAAACAATGTGATTTCAAGGTAAATTTCGGGCTTAAACATGTGTTAAATCGTAAGTAAAGTGACGCTAACTACTGCAGCAAGAGCTGCTAGAATGACCAGTGTGTGTCACTGTACGCGTGACATACAGCTATTATCCTTGCTGGCCTTGCGCTTCCGACTCCAGGCTCAGGATAATCACTACCTTGACTACAGCACTTCCATGGCACAAGACTAATGCCGGCTTCACAAATATACTGAAATTTTACGAACTCTAATAACAAAACTCGTTAGCCATAAGATTTCGCGTGTAGTTAATTTCACTGGAGGATACCGAGTGACGCACGCAGCAAACGGGGTGTACATGTGCAAGCATTGATAAATAAGCTTTATACACCACGATAAAGTACACTGATCGACTTTTTTTCTTTGCTTTGCAGAAAACAGTATTGTTGTGTTAATAATTATACGAAATAAAGTTACAGTAGCGCTATACGTAACTTACAGGTGTTTTACAATAATACCTTAATGGCAGCGGTAACATGCGCATTATTATGCTAAATCCGCACAAGTCATACCCCTCCTGAGACTGAAGCAATTAGGTTTCATCCAAGGGGAGGGTAGCTCCACTTTATCAGATCAAAAGCCTATCGCCAGCATCAAGGCAGTACGCTCACTTTACCCCACCTCTTAAAGCAGGTAACAAATGTAACAATGGACAAATTTTTAACCTAATGCTGTATTTATTGTCTGTGCAAGAAGTACAAGGATAGGGGGTTCCATCCTGACAGGTGCAGGTCAGAACAGGTACCGCTATGCCAGAAACAAGTGTCAAAAATTTTTCCCGACTTGGAGCTGTACTATTCGCTAGATTTATAAAGGATGGACGAGACTGAGGTACTGTACTCAAAGAATGCTGCAAATGAAGGGCTATTCAACACTGTGCTATAACCATTCACACAGCAAATGTACAACTAATAAAAATGCATAAAAATATCAATATTATTTAAAACAAATAAATACAACCAAATAAAATTAAAAGCTTTATCTATTAAAAGGATTACTGAAACACTTTACATGTTCCTGAGGTTTCTACAGACATCCTGGTTATTATAAAAACTGCCGTATCCGGTATGGCTGTTACTGGAAAGTGCCACAGTGAGTTTCATGTGGCAATCTGTACAGGGTAGAATTTCCTGTATGCATGTGTCAATGGGCGTGGTGTGTGTTTGTGCCAGATTATTAACAACCGTCTTGTAGTGATGAATTTTATGGCATAAAGAGGTCCAAAGATCAACATTCTGAAGTACCCTGTACAACTAGCTGTTTGTATATAGGACCTGTCGTCATCGCCACTACCCTATTAAATATTCTTTCACTTGGGCCAGAAAATCATGAGCAAAAGACTGATGGCGAGTCCACTTTGCACAGCAGCCTTTGCCTCTCTTCCCGTTCATTACCAGGGGTCCCGACACGCCCAACGCACTACATACATGTGACAAACTCAAACCAAGACTGACTAATCTAGCCAAATGCACTAGAGCCCATACACTAAATCAGGTTTAGTGCATGGATTTTAGTATTTAAAAAAAGAAGCATGGGCCTGACCGGATGCATGAGTGACCATTTGATTAAATTCATGGGCGTGGCAAAACACATCGATCAGATTAAAATCAGATCTGGTCAAGCGCCTGGTGCTATCTAAATGCCCAGGGGCCGGGAAGAGGGATCTTGTCAGTTTATGTGCATCTTACTAAATCCACTGGTGTAGCACGAAGCACATGCTTGATTTATGCAAGATATAAATAAGCGATGATCTAATCAATGTACTATCCATAGTGAGATTAGCCATCTAGAGAATATTACGTGAGCATAGAGGACTGAAGAGGAGCCATTAGCTATCCATAGCGAGATAAGCCATCTAAAGAGCATTGGGTAAGCAGGCACCTGGATATAAGCCACTAGTTTATCCATAATGAGATTAATCCTCTAAAGGCCATGAGGGAAAGGGATGGGGTATGGAGATGAGCCACTAATCAATAGAGAGATGATAGTCAGCTACTCAGCATTAAGGAAACAGAGACCTGGAGATGGGCCGCAACTCTACGGTTGCAGAAGCAGCTCTGGTGGAAGGGAACGTGTACCTTGCATCATGGTCTTCCTGGTGGGAGATGGGGGCTGCGAGTCTTCCTGATCATGCTCTGAGGGAACCACAGGTCGACACAAGGCAAAGTGGGAGAGAGAGCACATCAGTTAAACATGCTGAAGAAGACAGCTACAAGAATTAATACATAAAGAGACATAAAGCGAGACAGAAGAAACAAGAGAATGTTTTCATTTACTTGATTTGCAAGATAATCCCGTACAAATACACACAGTGTCAGAATTTGTCTATATTCTAACCAAGCTTTATTTTCTTAAGCCCAGGAAAAAACAAAACAGTTAGTGAACAATAATAAAGTAGTTTTTAAAGAAAAACTAGCACCAGTTCACGAAAGAGTCAACATGAAAAACTGGAACTCTCCGCTCATACCGGTTGTCAACCGGAACCTCTAGTGGGGCGTCTTTAAATCAGAATATACAACAGGGAGCAGGAAACTAGAAATCATTATGTACCATGTTTCAGGAGGCAATGTGTATGTCTCTTATGGTACACTGCCTCTCGTCTGCAACACAGTAGAACATTTCTGGAGTGGTTTCTCTAAACTGAATACCTCTCTCAACCTTTATATGTTTACCAATGCACCAACATATTCACTTTCAAAGCTGCGTTCACTTCTGTAATGGAGTCTTCAGTTTATAACTATTTCGCGAATTGTTAGTGTTAACGAACGACATCTCGAAGCAGTCTATATAAAGTCACTCACGATTTGATAATGGTACAATGCGTATCGAAATGTCATCTAATTTTTACTTCCAATATAAGGGCTAGCTGTGAATTTTTATAGCCTGTGCATTGTGACCTATTCTTCTTGTATCTTGTATATCAATGGTATACAATGCCGACAAGATGATTAGACACATTTGCAACATCTGGGTATCTTTATTTTGTAGACGTTTCGTCATCCAGTGGCTTTATCAGTACAATACATGGACATAATTTGAAGACTGTAGAAATACATACTGAAGATAATGGAAGACGAGGTAATCAATCCGTCAGATGGTGAGCACCGTTGTCTTAAAGAATCTGAAGCACGGGCAGGAAGATTGATGCTTATATACTGGTGTGTAGATGGGGACGGATCAAAGGCATTTGTATCAGGTAGCGGGACTTCAGTGGAATTTAGGTCTTCAAGAGTTATGACGCTGGACGTGTGGTGTGAAGGGGGACGTCCTCGAGGTGATGAACAAGCGGTGAAAGTGTACTTCTCTTCTTTCAGGGGGTGACCCAGTATATCCAAAGGGCGCCTTAATCCGGGGTTGTGACAGAGGCTGTGACAGACTCCACCTTGATGTATTTTACAATACATCTATACATTATGTATTTATTTGTGTGTAGTGATTAATTATTTAATTGTTTACTTTTATTATAACAATTTCATACATAATCTGGCCTATAGTTGAGACAATTCAGGTCATATCTTTTAATAACCAATATTATTTTCTTATATTTATAATTTTTTTATTTTTTGTGAGGCAACAGGGTAAGGCGTTGATCCCCCCTTGGGCATCAATATTTTCCCTAAGCGTGGGTGTGATTATGTTTTTTGACTCGAGGTCATCAGTCGGCATTTGCTGCCAAAGGAAATGAAACGAGAGCAGTTGCCCGTCTCCATTAACAGCCTCATACACACACGCCTTACAATGTCATTTTGGAAATTCTACGCAGTCTGCTCTGAGACGAAGGGTCATCACTGAACTTCGTACATAAAATGCTGATAAACTTTCAAGAGCACACGTATTACCTTACTTTACCGTGTCATGTTTGAAAATAAGTCGGAGAGAGGTATCACTACTAGGAAGTGTGTGAACTGTGTTCTGCTCTTGGGTCACAGCCGTTGTGGGGGTTACCTGGTATTTAGTTTCTGGATGCATCTGTCCGGTACAATGTCTTGGAATTGACCGACTCGTTTTGGGTGGTGTTAGTCTTTACGTATGTTTTGTGGTATGGTGTTTACTTCTGCGTTATCTGGTGTGGATTCAGTCTCAGGAAGAGTTTGCTTATGCATACTTAAGTAGTAAGTGGATTTATAATTTACCCAGTTTTGTGGATTCAGTCTGTTCTCGGATCGAATGGACTTTGGCTCTTGACTGTCTTATCGGTGTCTACATACTGTATTCTGTAGACTTATTCTTTGACTAAATGGCACGTGGACACAAGAACTATGGTGAGTTGGGGTCATGTGCAAGCAAGTTCTACACCTTGATACTTGTATCATTTAAGATGCATACAGATGGATACTTGTAACTAAATATTATTTCAAGTACACGTATGCACTGTATGTTGACCATTTCTCACGTAGACTAAATATATTTATGCTAGATGTTTTTATTCAGTAAAGATAGGTGCATTTTTACTTCTTGGTTTTAAATGCTCAAAACCGTGAGATGGTCTGTCTAGAACAAGCTTTGTTTTGGAAGTAAAGGTAAGCATGTCTCACGTTCATATTCCTGCAATGTATGTGATTGAGCAACTTGTATCATTCCACCACCAACTCTTCTGTTGCTGCTTTCTCCTCCTCCACCACCACCACCACACCACTTACTCCAACGTATCTATGCCTTCTTCCACGTCCACGTCCATATATCGTATTAGAAGTGTATAATGTACACTGTTGCACTTCTCTATCGACACTTACAGCTCACTCACTCTCCCCTCCAACCTGGTTTTATTCTTTTCTTCCACCAGCTCCTGTAGACATTAGTCCACTATGCATCACTGGGCGCTTATATTATAAAACATGTAGTACAGAATTTTCCAAACAAACTTGAATAATAAAGAATCGGGGCAGTAATAACAATCAAGATAAATTATCTTGTCACACGACCCCTGCAGTGTGCGGCATGGCTTGTGTGCCAACGCAGGGACTCTCAGAATATATAATTTAACACTGAAGTTACACGGTTATGACGAAAAATTTCATTCATGTATACGGAACATTTTGAAAGTTAGTTTTGTATTGGGTTTTGCAGATATCAAATATTTTCTCAGCGGTGACTGATGTACTTAACCTTGACCTTTTCTGCTTGGAAGTGGTTCTTGCTCACGACCCTTTGTCTGCTAGTGATGCATAGGCTATGCCACAGCGCAACATTATTGTTGTTTACCAAGTCATGGAATGATCACGGAATTGATAAATTAATAATATACCGCTGTTAAAAACTAAGCAACCAGAGATAAACAAATACTATTTTTTGACTTGCTAGAAAAGTTACCACGATTCTTTTAGGGGTTTAACACTACATTAGTTTCAAGTCATTATATCACTATCTAAAGAAGCAAAGTTGCGACCAGAGCCACGACTCCAAAATAGGTGTCCCAGTGTCCTACTTGGATCCCAACCACTCACCTGGTGTCGACGCCTGGCTGTTGAGTCTGTCAAGTTCCCTAGCGGAGTACAGAGGTGTGTTGACCTGGTAAGTGTTGTTGAAGAGCGAATAGTCGACGGCATATTCTCCAAGCTCCTTGTTGAAGGTCACCAGGGGCTCGAAGCGGTAACCCCACAGGATCTCGTTGGGCAGGTAGGATGACCGCGCCTGGGTAGTCATACCTGCACGAGACAGTAAATGGTTAATGAATAAGAGTAAAGTACTTGTAAATTAAAGATGAGAGCTATGAGGCTAGAGATGAGAACTACAGAAGCAATCATAGCCACATCGTCACACATAGTTAATACTTAATGCAAGAGTTGAGGGTACTGACCTGTGGACTCTATTACGCCCTCTAGTATGACGACTATCTCAAATTTCTCCCGGAGCAGATCGTGGGCGGAGAGATCGTAGAGGGGAGAGTTCTCGTTGATCTTGTGCACCATTGTCATGGGCCAAATGAAGAAGATGCGGTCCTCTCCGATGTCGTAACCCACGTCCAGCTCGTACTGGAAAAAGGGCAGGATCTCTCCCTCCCGCGTGACTCTCTTCCTGATGAGCTGGGCCCTCACGTGAGCCTCGATGATGTGAGACTTCCTCATGTCTCCCACGCGGAAAAGGAGACACATCTCGCCGTCACGGAGACAAAGACACGCGTTGCGAGAGAATAAGAGTGTTTGCGTGCGCTTCTTGGGACGAGAGAGTTTGGCGAACACGATGCCAACCATGAAGGCCTGAGGGAGAGGCAGAGGTATTCAGCATTCATGCTACATATCGTTATGATAGACATCAGTGTCAACTTCCCATTCAGTCATACATGTTACATCCAATGAATGATAGCTAGCAATGTTTACACGAACATTCATCATTCACACTTTGATGCTACATCCAATGTAGAACTTATCTTGAAGGCTGGGCGCTCTCTACAGTAAGGTTTAATTTGGTGTTACTTAGAACAAGTAATGTTTAATCTGAAGCAGTTATTTAAAAACTTTTAATTCAAAGAAATGGAGGTATACTTTTTCCTTAGCTCAGAACGTCCATATGAATAAAATTAATTTTAACTCTGGGAATGAGTATATAAAGGACACACCTGTATCATGACACCCGTGATGCTCTGCAGACACATAACAAAGATGGCCTCTGGACACTGTTCTGTGGTGTGACGGGACCCGTAACCGATAGTATGCTGAGTCTCCACGCTGAACAGGAAACACGAAGTGAAACTGAACACGTTCACCACACACGGCGTCCACCTGGCCAGGGAAACACAAAGTGAAATTACAGGTGTTCACGATAAGTGTCAGGGCCCCAAGACTGTTCAACTGTCTCCCAGCATACATAAGGGGGATTACCGATAAAATCCTAGCTGTCTTCAAGAGGGAGCTGAACAGGCTTGTGGCCGGCAGTAACAGCCTGGCTGATCAAGCCCTGATCCACCACGAGGCCTGGTCAAGGACCGGGCCGTGGGGGAGTTGACCCCCGGAACACCCTCCAGGTACACTCCAGATGTTCATTACCCGTGGGGTTTACATGCCAAAGGGCAAGAATCTTTACACTATCTGTAGCACGAGGTAATATGCTCAACATTTCAGCTTTTGACATGCAATACAATCAATACATAGCAAAATAATCCACAAACATTCACACCTGCACTAGCTAAAGCCAGCACACCTCAAGGTTGCAAGCGAGTCACATTCCCTGCACACATGTGGACAAGCCAGCACCACAATCGCCATGCTGAAGCCATCATAAAGAAGTGTAGCTGGTTTGTAATCTACCCACACATGTAGACAAGCCAGCACCACAACTGCTATGCTCACGATATCATACACATTAACAACTCAAGAAAAGTGTGGTGACTGGAACTGATGGCAAGTCTGTTCTTAAACTAGTAGGCCACACAGACTTAAGATTCATCCACCTATATACATGTCTATACAGTAACATAATATACAGTGGTATAGTGTTGCAGTGTCAGACAAGATGGTATAAACCTTGGTAATAAATACCGACAAGTTGGTTTAGAAAGACACGTAAGCAAACACTATAACATATTTATTAGAAAACGTTTCGGTCCTGGGACCTTGATCACTTCTAACATACAGAGGTAGAAAGACATTATATATAGGCGGAGAGTGAGGTGTGACGCACGTGACCTGAGGAATGTCATAAGAACATAAGAATGGAGGAACACTGTAGAAGGCCTACTGGCCCATGCGAGGCAGGTCCTTATCAAAACAACCTCTGCCTATGATGAGGATGGGTAGACGATGAAATCATGCGACTCCTGTGTTGTTGGGTTGGTGCTGCTTAAGTATCATGTATGCCAATGTTTTTGAAATTTTGTAGTTTCCAGTGTTGCGTTCTATAGTGTCGGTGACGGCGATCAGTGAGGCTTCTAGGCACCGTCGGCGTCTGAGGTCTGGTTCGGTGAGAACGAGTTGTGCCTCATTCCAGTTCATCAAATGCCCCGTGGAGTCTCTGTGGAGGACACATGCGTACCTTACATCGTCTCTGTTAGAGGCATTTCGATGTTCATTCAGGCGGACTGCAAGATCTCTGCTCTGTTCCACAAGGCACAGTACTCGCTCCCATCTTGTTCCTCATCCTTATATCCGACATAGACAAGGATGTCAGCCACAGCACCGTGTCTTCATTTGCAGATGACACCCGAATCTGCATGACAGTGTCTTCCATTGCAGACACTGCAAAGCTCCAGGCAGACATCAACCAAATCTTTCAGTGGGCTGCAGAAAACAATATGAAGTTCAACGATGAGAAATTTCAATTACTCAGATATGGTAAACATGAGGAAATTAAATCTTCATCAGAGTACAAAACAAATTCTGGCCACAAAATAGAGCGAAACACCAACGTCAAAGACCTGGGAGTGATCATGTCGGAGGATCTCACCTTCAAGGACCATAACACTGTATCAATCGCATCTGCTAGAAAAATGACAGGATGGATAATGAGAACCTTCAAAACTAGGGAGGCCAAGCCCATGATGACACTCTTCAGGTCACTTGTTCTATCTAGGCTGGAATATTGCTGCACACTAACAGCACCTTTCAAGGCAGGTGAAATTGCCGACCTAGAAATGTAAGAGAAACTTTTCACGGCGCCCCATAACGGAGATAAAAACACCTCAATTATTGGGAGCGCTTGAGGTTCCTAAACCTGTATTCCCTGGAACGCAGGAGGGAAAATACATGATTATATACACCTGGAAAATCCTAGAGGGACTAGTACGAACTTGCACACGAAAATCACCCACTACGAAAGCAAAAGACTTGGCAGACGATGCAACCATCCCCCCAATGAAAAGCAGGGTGTCACTAGCACGTAAGAGGACCATACAATAAGTGTCAGGGGCCCGAGACTGTTCAACTGCCCCCAGCACATCATAAGGGGGATTACCAACAGACCCCTGGCAGTCTTCAAGCTGGCACTGGACAAGCACCTAAAGTCAGTTTCCGGATCAGCCGGGCTGGGCTCGTATGTGGTTTGCGTGCAGCCAGCAGCAACAGCCTGGCTGATCAGGCTCTGATCCACCAGGAGGCCTGGTCTCAGACCGGGCCGCGGGGGCGTTGACCCCCGGAACTCTCTCCAGGTAAACTCCAGGTCTCGCCTACATATTTCTTGGACAGAACCCACAGGGGATAGTGAGACGCCTGCTGTAGAAGTTAGAGGTGTGGGGCTGCGTTTCGTAGTGAGGTCTTTGATAGATGTGTTTATGGTGGGAACGTTGATGTTACTTATAGCAAGTGCCCTGCGAGTATTCGTGGCAACATCGCCACATGGGAGTACTATGAACTGTTTTGGGGGCTGTTCCATGGGCGGTTTGTTGAGGATAGCTTGTGCCTTTAGTCTGCAATCTCGGATGAAGAAAGATGGGAACTGAAGACGTGTAAAGGCTTGTGTTATGTAAGTGCATTCTTCTTCTAGAAAACAAGGGCTGGAGATGCGAAGAGCTCTCAAGAAGAAGCCAATGAGGACTCCTCTCTTAGTGCGGGTGTCTTGGTGTGAATAAAAGTGTATAAGATCGTCCTTGTTGGTAGGTTTTCTATACACTTTGAAGAGAAGTTTGTCACTGTCGGAGATCTGCACAGTAGAACGTCGAGGAAAGAAGTTTGCCATCATTTTCGAGTTCAAGTGTAAACTTTATTGATGGTTCAACTGCATTCATCTTGTTGAAAGGGCCTGGATATTGAGACGTCTCGATAGAAAACCAATATATCATCAACGTATCTTAGCCAGGTAACGGTGTTGGGAATGAGGGGGCTGAATTTCTCTGTCTCTCCAGGTTTTCCATGAAGAGGTTGGCAAGCACAGCACTGAGCGGCTGCCCATTGCCATCCCAAAGCATTGTTTGTAACAGTTGTCCTGATACTTGAAGAAGTTGAAATTAACACAAAGTTCCCTAGATTGATGAAATCTAGAAGAGGTAAAGGGAGGTCGTGGTTTTCAGTGAGCCTCTGTCTCAGAATGTTGATTGCATGCGTCAGTAGGAACGTTGGTAAAGAGGCTGTGACATCGAAGGAAGCCATGCTTTTGTTTTTGACATTCAGGTTGGAAATTCGGGAGAGAAGGTCACTTGAGTGTTTATGAGGTGGGCTTTGACTGATGGTGCCCCAGAAGCGCTGAAAGGTATTTGGCAAGGTGGCCGGCTAGTCTGTGGTGCACTCCCTATGCCCGAAGTGATAGGCCGTAGTGGGATGCCAGGTTTGTGTGTCTTAGGAAGGCCATACAGGCGTGCTGGTTTCGGTTGACCTGGTAAAAGTTTAAGTAGTTTCTTGCTTGTTCTGATTTTCGTAAGATGCTACGAGCCTTTTTAAGGAAAGTCTGGGTACTTTGAAGTAGCACTGATTCCGATACAGGCTGGTATGTGTTGGCATCGTTGAGAAGATTTAAGACTTTATTGTTGTAGTCGACAGTGTTGAGTAACACCACACCACCTCCTTTGTCAGCGGTTGTAATGACGATATCATCGTTGTTGGCCAAGTTCCTGAGTGCTTGGATGTATCTTCTGGGAATGACCGGTCTTGAAGGCTCAGTAGCTGCAGCAGTGATAATTCCTTGAACAAAGCCCTTTGAAACTCGGAGTCTCCAAAAGGTTGGTTCTTGGTTACCATATCCACCAGATTATGTTTCTTGTTAATGCCAGTAGTAAACTTGAGCCCTAAGCTGAGGGCTTCTGTCTCGGTGATGGTTAGTGTATAGGAAGATAAGTTATTTATGATTTCTGGTCGTCCCATTTCGCTCCATTTGCTGTGGGAGCACAGGTCTTGTAGTTTATCGTGATAGCTTCAATTTTTGTTGGATGTTGGCAGTGGTAACTTGGCTGAGTATATATTCTGCAGTCCTTCTGTCAGGATTCGTGCTTCACTTCCTACTCCTGACAGAAGGACTGCAGAATATATCTCAGCCAAGTTACCACTGCCAACATCCAACAAAAATTGAAGCTATCACGAAAACTACAAGACCTGGCTCCCACAGCAAATGGAGCGAAATGGGACGACCAGAAATCATAAATAACTTATCTTCTATACACTAACACTCACCGAGACAGAAGCCCTCACTTAGGGCCAAGTTTACTACTGGCATTAACAAGAAACATAATCTGGTGGATATGGTAACCAAGAACCAACCTTTTGGAGACTCCGAGTTCATAAGGGCTTGTTCAAGGAATTATCACTGCTGCAGCTACTGAGCCTTCAAGACCGGTCATTCCCAGAAGATACATCCAAGCACTCAGGAACTTGCCAACAACGATGATATTGTCATTACAACCGCTGACAAAGAGGTGGTGTGGTGTTACTCAACACTGTCGACTACAACAATAAAGTCTTAAATCTTCTCAACGATGCCAACACATACCAGCCTGTATCGAATCAGTGCTACTTCAAGTACCAGACTTTCCTTAAAAAGCTCGTAGCATCTTACGAAAATCAGACAAGGCAAGAAACTACTTAAACTTTTACCAGGTCAACCGAAACCAGCACGCCTGTATGGCCTTCCTAAGACACACAAACCTGGCATCCCACTACGGCCTATCACTTCGGGCATAGGGAGTGCACCACACAGACTAGCCGGCCACCTTGCCAAATACCTTTCAGCGCTTCTGGGCACCATCAGTCAAGCCCACCTCAAACACTCAGGTGACCTTCTCTCCCGAATTTCCAACCTGAATGTCAAAACAAAAGTATGGCTTCCTTCGATGTCACAGCCCTCTTTACCAACGTTCCTACTGACGCTGCAATCAACATTCTGAGACAGGCTCACTGAAAACCACGACCTCCCTTTACCTCTTCTAGATTTCATCAATCTAGTGGAACTTTGTGTTAATTTCAACTTCTTCAAGTATCAGACAACTGTTACAAACAATGCTTTGGGATGGCAATGGGCACCCGCTCAGTGCTGTGCTTGCCAACCTCTTCATGGAAAACCTGGAGAGAGAGATATTCAGCACCCTCATTCCCAACACCGTTACCTGGCTAAGATACGTTGATGATATATTGGTTTTCTATCCGAGACGTCTCAATATCCAGGCCCTTCTCAACAAGATCAATGCAGTTGAACCATCAATAAAGTTTACACTTGAACTCGAAAATGATGGCAAACTTCCTTTCCTCGACGTTCTACTGTGCAGATCTCCCGACAGTGACAAACTTCTCTTCAAAGTGTATAGAAAACCTACCAACAAGGACGATCTTATACACTTTTATTCACACCAAGACACCCGCACTAAGAGAGGAGTCCTCATTGGCTTCTTCTTGAGAGCTCTTCGCATCTCCAGCCCTTGTTTTCTAGAAGAATGCACTTACCTAACACAAGCCTTTACGTCTTCAGTTCCCATCTTTCTTCATCCGAGATTGCAGACTAAAGGCACAAGCTATCCTCAACAAACCGCCCATGGAACAGCCCCCAAAACAGTTCATAGTACTCCCATGTGGCGATGTTGCCACGAATACTCGCAGGGCACTTGCTATGAGTAACATCAACGTTTCCACCATAAACACATCATCTATCAAAGACCTCACTACGAAACGCAGCCCCACACCTCTAACTTCTACAGCAGGCGTCTACACTATCCCCTGTGGGTTCTGTCCCAAGAAATATGTAGGCGAGACAGGCAGAGATCTTGCAGTCCGCCTGAATGAGCATCGAAATGCCTCTAACAGAGACGATGTAAGGTACGCATGTGTCCTCCACAGAGACTCCACGGGGCATTTGATGAACTGGAATGAGGCACAACTCGTTCTCACCGAACCAGACCTCAGACGCCGACGGTGCCTAGAAGCCTCACTAATCGCCGTCACCGACACTATAGAACGCAACACTGGAAACTACAAAATTTCAAAAACATTGGCATACATGATACTTAAGCAGCACCAACCCAACAACACAGGAGTCACATGATTTCATCGTCTACCCGTCCTCATCATAGGCAGAGGTTGTTTTGATAAGGACCTGCCTCGCATGGGCCAGTAGGCCTTCTACAGTGTTCCTCCATTCTTATGTTCTTATGACATTCCTCAGGTCACGTGCGTCACACCTCACTCTCCGCCTATATATAATGTCTTTCTACCTCTGTATGTTAGAAGTGATCTAGGTCCCAGTACCGAAACGTTTTCTAATAAATATGTTATAGTGTTTGCTTACGTGTCTTTCTAAACCAAGTTGTCGGTATTTATTACCAAGGTTTATACCACAGTGGTATAGTATACAGCAATACAAACTAGTGTGGCACTAAAATAGAGATGACCCAAAAGTTGGTATCCCCAGTTCACATCCTAAGATGTTTTTTTAAGGAGTAGAAGAGTAAATTATTGAACGAGTTCTGTTAAATAAGGAAAAGCTCCAGTAGGAGGGTCATTAAATGAGAAGGAGCATCTTGTAGTGTGTGATGAAGTTCAGCATTTCACACTCTAAAGCGTCATCACAGGAAATATCCTAAGACAAGAGTGTGTATGGGGGATTACCTGGATTCCTCCTGTTTGTGTGGCAGATGTTGTTCTTCTAGGTCACCGTGAGTGTAGGCGATGAGCCACCACACTACAGCAAACAACATCCACGAGCTGATGAACGACATGGCGAACACCAACAGCGTCCACCGCCACTGTAACATCAAACACCATATATAGATGTTTACACTGAAGAGGTTTTGGTGTATAGATATTAAGACACTAGCAAGAATAACACAAAACTTTCGCATATGAAACACAATAACGATGAAAAACTATAAACGCAACTCAGACATTTTCGTTCCTTCCAACATTTTCGAAGAGTGAAAAAACAGGAGTTTTTCTTAAGAGTAAAACCTGCAGGTAGGTCATTAACACTAGTTCACTGTGCATTAAAAACACTTTAATTCCTAAATAGAGGATTAGGGCCCATTCTTAGTGTATATATATATTATGTATATACTGTAAAAAAAAGTGTGGGGGAGGGTGTTTGCACATAATTTAAAATGTGCTAAACCCTGGAGAGTGATACAGCAAACGCCCCAGTAGTAGTTCAATTTATACTATGCAGAGTTCAGCTCCATGGAGCTGAACTCTTCTCCAGGCTGAGGGACTGACCACCTCAAATACTTTTCTCCAAGGTTGATGGACTGATTACATCATCCATATTTCACCACTACAGCTGTTCTCTCTGCATCTGACTGAAGAAGCCTACCGTGTAGGTGTAACGCTTCATCAATAAAAAAAGCTAACAGTTGCACATGTACCTGAAGGGGCACGTAAGTTCCTCCGTCTTCTAATAACATGTTTAATTTTCCACTATAATCTACCTTGTCCACAATTACTATCGCATTTGCTTTGTCAGTTTCGTAAGGTGAAGTCTAGGATCTTTCCTTAATTCATGGTATAAATTAACAAGAGATGCGTGCTTCACTACAGTGTACACTTTCATTTTCTAGATGGTATGCAAACAAGACCTTACTTGTTATTCCCAGCTGGGGAAGAAATTCATGAAAGATTTTAGATGTGAAGTTCGATCTCTGGTTTAACTGAACTTCCCAAGGTACCTCTGTTTATGTGAAGAGTCTCACCCAAGCCCATATTCATGGTAGTCGTATTGCTTCGCGATACCGAATAGAGGTGCACGTTACTGTATACAAATATTCCTCACGTATACAAGTATGAGGCAAAGGATCAATACTCAATAACCAACCCAGGGAAAGGTTCACCACACTCTGGTATTGGAAATAATGGGGCTGGTTTAATAGCATTATAAGCATTAATAGCATTACTTGACAAATGACATGTCCTGACACGAACAGAAAATTTCACCGCCATACGCTGCCAGGAGAAAAAAAATCTTGACAATTGTTGTCAAGAAATTCTCGACTCCTAAACGGCCACCCAGGGAACTATTGTGACACGGACATCACCTTACATCTTTTACACGATGGAAATACGAATACATGTTTAATGGGCTCTGGCCTGGTGGTTAACGCTCTCGCTTCACACGGCGAGGGCCTGGGTTCGATTCCCAGCCAGAGTAGAAACATTGGGCGTGTTTCTTTCCACCTGTTGTCTATGTTCCCCATCAGTAAAATGGGTACCTGGGTGTTAGTCGACTGGTGTGGGTCGCATCCTGGGACACTGACCTAATTTGCCCGACATGCTCAGCATAAGTGGCTTTCTATGTAGTAGTATGTCATTGTTGTCAGCTAGGGCTGTATACCTTGTACATGTACTTGTAGTAAATAAAGATTATATTATATTATATATTATAATTTTCCATACTTAGTGTTTGTCCATACCAGGTGGTTAATTAAACCTTCCTCATTAGTATGCTGGAATGCTTCCAGCATAAGTTTCTCTCTTATTTACTGTTTCCCATTATGAGACACCTAGCGCTGCGACTTAATCGACAGCAGTATCTGGAGCACAGAAAGATACCTACTGTGAATTTACAGAGGAAGGGAGCTGGGAAAAGGTTTGAGAGAGAAGCGGCCGCATCTGAATCCCACTAAACAGTTTATCCAGGCCCCACCATGAGGTGGTTCCTCCCTCATGCCCTGCTGCATGTGACGCCACAACCACCATCGGCAATAAAGTACTGATACCGAGTTGTTTAGCCCATTCCAGAGCTTTTTTATATACATCAGAATGACAGGTTTTTGACATACTGTAAGCAACGTTAATACATCGTTTCCGACCAGCAATTCCGTGCGATCAACAAGAGTCACCAGAGCCCATACGCATATTCCCTGTGAAAAATTTGTTTTTAAGAGACTGTGAATAGGGACACTAAATATAGCCCAGCCATAGGTTTCTCGTAAGACACAAGCTTGAAGGTGACAACTTCAGTTAGTGACAATGAATGCTTCACAACGACCAGAGAGGTGCTATTAAATGGCGAATCGCAGCTTCAACTACTATACTGGCAGAGTGCCTAGATCCAGGGTGCCAATACCAGCAGTTATAATGAAACATTTGCGCAGTACATGGACATCTATACTATTCAAACGTTCCGCCAGCCAGTGGCTTCATAAGTCTAATACAGAAGAGAAACGATGAAACATGAGTAGTAGTTTGAGATAATCAGTTTCTCATCATGGAGATGTGTTTAGTCTATCAATCTTGATTAAGTACAGCAAAGGCACGGATAAGGTGCTTATATACTGGAGACAGGAGAGGCGAAGTAGATGGAGGCTGCGTCACCGGTGGACAAAATCCAATAACGGAAGTAGGTCATCCCAGATGGTTAGGCAAGCGTTAAAAAATTTATTTATCAACAATACAATATGTTACTGTATCAGACAGTTTGATAAAGATACACAAGTACTACACCAGTTCATTAACTGGTCGATTTTCTTAACCATTTATATTTTAATGCCAAGTTTTATGATTGGATGTATTACCGTCTCACTGACCACGGGCTTCCTGCAGCTGGGTTTCCTCGACTGTCTGGTCAGAACTGACATACATCAGCTGAGTACGAGACTGTAGCTGATGTTGCATATTTTGCTGATTCTGCAACCTAAATCACCGAGTGAGAATGTGACCCCAGCTTACTGCAATAACTGCATCGAAGTCTGAGCAGCCTGGTAGAGGCTTACATTCAGACCAGTTCTGTGGTCTCTCCTGTCCAGTCACTGTCTTGTCTGAGTTTGTCGAGGGTTAAAGAGGAGCCAACATTCAATTTTGTGATGGACGTATCAGCTTACTACCAATGATGAGTACTTTTTATATCCCAAATACTCATACACATCAGTCACATTGGCCATAAATTTTTTAATAGGATTTAGTTCATAAACTTTCCAATATTCTGGCCAAATTCTGCTGTTCAAAATTGCAAAGAAGTTGTCTCTTTGCCTTGAGATAATCATGGTACGTGTTACCAGACTTTCGACGGAGATACAAAAAATATTGTTGATACTTAGACGGTAACAATGCACAGGCTTATAAAACACCATCCCCCCCCAAAAAAAAAAAAAAAAAAAATCTGTACTGGGACAATATGGCAGCTGTCTTCGCCTGATCGTAGCCGCGCAACTGTGGTGGCGGTGGTGGTGGCGGCGGTGGTGGTTCTTCCAGCAGCAGCAGCAGCAGTCAGCAGCAGCAGCAGCAGCAGCAGCAGCAGCAGCAGCAGCAGCAGCAGCAGCAGCAGCAGCAGCAGCAGCAGCAGCAGCAGCAGCAGCAGCAGCAGCAGCAGCAGCAGCAGCAGCAGCAGCAGCAGCAGCAGCAGCAGCAGCAGCAGCAGCAGCAGCAGCAGCAGCACAGCAGCAGCAGCAGCAGCAGCAGCAGCAGCAGCAGTCACAGCAGCGAGCAGCAGCAGCAGCAGCAGCAGCAGCAGCTAGCAGCAGCAGCAGCAGCAAGCACAGCAGCAGCAGCAGCAGCAGCAGCAGCAGCAGCAGCAGCACAGCAGCAGCAGCAGCAGCAGCAGCAGCAGCAGCAGCAGCAGCAGCAGCAGCAGCAGCAGCAGCAGCAGCAGCAGCAGCAGCAGCAGCAGCAGCAGCAGCAGCAGCGGCGGCGGCGGCGGCGGCGGCGGCGGCGTCCGCTCAAAGCAGTCGCCTTATTTTCGAAACATGGAAATATCTATCAAGGTTGGACTCGCTGTACTTGGGAATCACTGCTGTCACACAATGAATGTTGAACCCAGCTTGTGGTCTACCATCATTCATCTCACTTTCATTACTATTACCTTTCATATTTTTTCATATAAATTCATCTCAGTTTCTTGCTATACTGCCACTGCTCGGTAACAAAAGCCTGCTTCTTTACCAAGAGCATCTCTGCTCTTGGATGCTCTGGCGCTGCAGCTGCAGCGCCAGAGCAAGGTCGGTCCCCAGGAAGTTAGAAAAAACTAGCCTCTGCTTTTTGTGCCTCCAGAAGGATACTTTTACCTTGCTCGACATTACTATGGTTCGCGCACCCGTACTGCCTAGTAGCCAAGCTCCTACCCTGCTGCCTCTCCTCGCAGTGCGTTGAGTTGAGAAATCCTAATAGTGTCACCTTCAGTTAGGTTATGCCCTTTGTCTTGGCGCGATCTCAAGTTAAATAATTAAAAGTGGGAAGGGGAACGAAGATCACACGACACCTTCAACCATTAGCGCTTTCTCGCTATTGATTTTAATAAGTTGCTCTTCAAACAAGTCATATAACTGGAACTTGTTCTCTCTCTCTCTCCTCCTATATTGAATTTCCGAATCTTCAACAAGCTTCCAACACTTTTATAATGGTAGTGTCTCCAGAGGATTAGATGTAAATATATTTGGACGTGCTCCTAGCATAATATTTTCAAGTCTAATTTATTAAAATTTCGATACGGCCTTCATCTAGTGCTTAAGGCCTACCGTATACATTAAAGGTACGTAATTGAAACAACAGCAATAACAATAAAATTCAATTCAATATAATTTTTTTTAAAAGTTATTAAATCTAATAAATAAAATTTGTTTATGGCCGCTAAGTAATTTCTTCAAATAACAGTATAACAGTAAAGTGTACGTTAACATTATTTTAATAACCTAACTGGTAACTTAACGGGCCAGCTGTAACAAGTAAGCAGAGGCAAATTTCCTAGAGTGGCAATAACTGTGGCAACTTCAGAAGCACTAATTCACAAAGAGTAAGAGTTGTGTGCTGATAAATTGCTCAGAACATAGTAACTGGGTGTCACTTCCTGTCATGTGACTTATGTCAAGACAAAAAGGGCGTCCTCGGCCTAATGCCATCTAAGTACAGTATGTCGGTGGAGATTAAAGCCAGCAACAGAAGAACTGACTGGAGGGACCCTGAACCACCAACATCAGCTGACTATTGTTTAGTCATACAAAGCTAGCATATAATGCAATATGTATAGTTATGATGAATGGTTTGAAAAACCGACAAGTTGAAGATTGAGACACTTATGCAGCATATGGGAATCTTTATTCAGGAAACGTTTCGCCACACAGTGGCTTCATCACCTCACTACAGTATATAAGCCACGTCTACGGCTCTATGCTGTACATTCTACAAGATTGATGGACTGAACACATCGACTCCAGGCTGAGGGACTGATTACCTCATACTCCTCCTCTCCTTACGCCTTCCTCTTTGTATTGGACTGATGAAGCCACTGTGTGGCGAAACGTTTCCTGAACAAAGATTCCCATATGCTGCATAAGTGTCTCAATCTTCAACATGTATAGTTATATTTACGTTATAATTTTATAAGTGACTAACAAGACTTACTGATGGAAGCAAATAATCACTGACAGTCCTGATGCCCACTCAAATGCTTACATTTTTATGTGTAACAGTGGCTTAACCAATAAAAGGAGTGTATGTGAGCCGTATACAGCTGCACAGGATAAAGTTACTGCATACATAAAGACAGAGAGAACTTCAGTCTTACATGGCACAGTCCCTATAATCCTGTAAACCACAGCAACGAAATCACACATCCTAGGAAGAACGGCAGGCAAAGAACAGCAGGCAAATGACTTAGGATTATACATTTGAGCGTTTAGTCTGGCTCACACCTACATAAAGTTCATTATAAGTCATGGGTGATGCTGTTGATCATAGGAAAATAAGAAACTCAACGAATACAAGAGATTGGGCTATCTGCACCACTTCACATTAGTAAGACAGAATACACTTGTCCCCCGGGGAAAAATATTATAGGTTCTCCCCAAGAACTGCTCTCCAGGATCACAAACTACGAGAGACCAAGGGGTTGTGAGACCAAGGATGAACATCTGATGTTTCCTGGATTCTCCACTGGCTTCCGAGGAGCTCAACAACGTTATCACTCAAGTTACTCATTCTGAACTAAATACTCAAAATTTAACTTTACCAAAAATCTCCCACTTACCTGAATCTTAAAACTTCAAATCTAGACGCACGAAGTTCATACATTATTAATACTACACTGTAGTATAAACACCTACCCAAAACAATACTGCCTTACACCCAATTGTAACATTCTCAGACTGTAAACTACTTTCAACAACTCACAATGTTATATTCCCATAATATAATTTCAATATTTATTTTTGAAATTATTGTAATTAGAGTAAAATTACTGTCTACTATATATAAAAAAAGATGTACAATTTGAATAAACTATGATTAATTTCTTTAGTATTAAGTAGTCTATATAATCTGCCCATAATGCCTAGGCATGATAGTGGCTCTCTGCATTGCAACTCATTATTGTAATTTCATAATCTCAATGTAATCTTGCAAAGTAAATTATTTTTTTTATTATAATGTAAATGGTGATGGTAAGAGGAAAAAAAAATCGTGAAGCGACCTGAGATTAGTGGTTGTGAATATTTCGCATGATTTGCCAATTCTAAACATTGTAAAAATCTATATATCGCCCCGAGCAGGTAAAACTTGCGATTTTGGCTTGAATAGCAACGTTCTTCTTGCCGAATAAGGCAAGCGAAAATTTGTGTATGCAAATATGCGAGAAAAATACATTTCATTGTGTTTGTTTATTATTGTACACTTATTTGAAATATATTTAACTAGATTAGGCTAAATTAAATGCGCTTGTTATAATAAGGTTAGGTAAGTTTTCTAAGGTTCTTTTGGTACAGTTATTAATTTTTACATTAACATAAATGATAAAAGATATACATCTTTAAACGTATAAGAGAGAATTTTAGAAACTACTTAATTTTAAACAAGTTCTTGCTAATTGACCAATTTTACCTATTCGGCACGACATATATATATATATATATATACATATATATATATATAATATATATATGCACGGGGCGTATATCTATGTTCACGGAAGTATCTGTGTATATACGTCGGATAAATTTAATACCCATATTAGGCATTAAAATATTCTCCATTTTGTTTATGGGTGAAATGCTGCCTTAATGACCCACGTGCGATTAATAAGTCTTCAGTCTGACACATTAACTAACCCTTGCAGCCTATCTTATTATTAACTGGAGACCAACGAGAGTAGTGAAGATATCTTGAAGATAGCATCTTACCTGGATATCAACGAGGGTAGTGAAGATATCTTGAAGATAGCGTCTCCGCCGCTTGGCTACATTGGACGGTGACACGTTACATTCTCCATTCTTCTGCACCACTCTCTTGCGCATCTTCTTACTGCTGATCCGAGTGTGTCTGTACCTGCCGGAGCCAACCACAACCATTACTGACAAGCTTTACTCTGTGTGTGTGTGTGTGTGTGTGTGTGTGTGTGTGTGTGTGGTGTGGTGTGTGTGTGTGGTGTGGTGTGTGTGTGTGTGTGTGGTGTGGTGTGGGTGAGTGTGAGTGTGAGTGTGAGTGTGAGTGTGAGTGTGAGAGAGAGAGAGAGAGAGAGAGAGAGAGAGAGAGAGAGAGAGGGGGGAGAGACAAGAAAGGCAAGAGAGAATAAAGAGGGGACAGAAGAGAGAATCTAGTAAACATTTGTGAGATTGTTTATTAACTAATCTCTTCCAATATTTGACAATTGTAAATAATAACAATTCACCTTAAATTTAAGGTTACTGCAAATGTTTATATATATAAATTTTATAAACACTATTTGCATTTGAAAGACAAACATGTAAGAGATTTCCTGGGGTGCCGTGAGTCGTGGATATTTAAAAGCTAGTTGAAGTGGACAGGTACGATACACATGATACAATAGACATGGACGCAAAATGAAACGTTAAGTAGAGTGGATTTGGTTATGCTGACCTCACAGATTCTTCAACACATCCGTCTGATGAAGAGGGTCCCTGAGGCAGAAATAAACACATCCTTCCTACTCTCATTTTGCTTCCAAGTAAGAGTTTGTTTGTCGATGTTTATGAGTTAAAACGCCGTCCAGTGAGCCTGATATTAAGTTGCCAGGATAACTAGCGGGACCTATTATTACAATTATCAGTATTTATGCATTCATAGGGAAGTGCTAAATCCGTAGGGGTCCTTGATAACAGCCCAGGACGGGCAAAAACGTCTGAAATCCTTTTCCATTTTGAGAGCTGGTTGTGAATTGCCCCAGCAGCGGTATTGTGACTTCATGGTGGATAAATGTTACTAAGTGTAGTCTTGGGACTGTGTCAGTGTACTCAGAGTGCAGTTTATTTATTTATTTATTTATTTATTTATTTATTTTACAATTTGAGCATACATACAGAGGTACAAAAAAATACAGATAAGAGCAGCATGCCAAAGCCACTTATACTATGCATAGCATTACGGGCTGGCTTAAAATTAACTAAGCAATGATGAAATCAGTGATAATACATTATTGTAAACAGATAACTATAAAGCACAAATGAGTATTACAAAGACAGGTCATATGGTTGCATGCATTGTTGAACATTCAGTCGTATGGAGTATTCTGTTAGGTAGTGTATTTAAAAAATAATAAAGTTAGATTGGGTTTTAGGTTTAACATTTATGTGATATAATTGTGAGAAACATTTAAGATATACAATTTATAAGGTTCAGTTATTCAGTATTTATTTGGTTTTGGGTGAGTAAGTGATCTTTGAGAAGAGACTTGAATTTATAAACAGGTAGTGTTTCTTTTATATTTACAGGTAATGAATTCCAGATTTTAGGGCCTTTTATGTGCATTGAGTTTTTGCATAGTGTGAGATGGACACGAGGAACATCAAAGAGTGATCTGTGCCTTGTGTTATGGTCATGTGTTCTGTTGAGGTTGGCAAGGAGATGTTTGAGGGGAGGGTTAATATCAGAGTTAAGTGTTCTATGTATGTAATAGGTGCAGTAATAAGTATGGATGTTTTGTACGGTGAGTAGGTTTAGTGTTTTGAATATTGGTGGAGTGTGCTGCCTGTAGTGTGAATTTGTTATCATTCTGATTGCAGCCTTTTGTTGGGTAATTAGTGGTCTGAGATGGTTAATTGTTGTCGAGCCCCATGCACAAATTCCATAGGTGAGATAGGGGTAAATAAGAGAGTGATATAGGGCCAGGAGGGCTGACTGTGGAACATAGTACCGTATCTTCGATAGTATGCCTACAGTCTTGGAAATTTTCTTAGAAATTTGTTGTATATGTGTATGAAATTTGAGTCTATTATCAAGGTGGATTCCTAAGAATTTTCCCTCTGTTAGCTTTGTGATAGGTGATCCGTTTATCATTATGTTAAGAGGGACATCTGTAGCTCTGTTACCAAACTGAATGAAGTAGGTTTTGTCAATGTTTAGTGTAAGTTTGTTAGTCCTCAACCAGGTAGATATTTTCTGTAATTCGGTATTTACAGTATTGGCTAGCGTGACTGGGCTCGGGTGAGAGAAGATGTATGTAGTGTCATCTGCAAATAGTGTGGGTTTGAGTAATTGCGAAGCATTTGATAGGTCATTTATGTATATGAGAAAGAGAAGAGGGCCAAGGACACTTCCCTGTGGGACACCAACTGTAATTGGTTGCGCAGAAGAGTTTGCCCCATTTGCGTACACATATTGGCTTCTGTTGCTGAGGTATGACTTGAGGTAGTTGAGGGAGTGCCCTCTTATACCATAGTGTGACAATTTTACGTGGAGCAAGTCATGGTCAACTGTATCAAAAGCTTTACGTAAGTCAATGAAGATCCCCAGTGGGACTTCTTTTTTCTCTATTGCAGTGTATATATGTTCTAGCATGTGTATAATAGCATCATTAGTATTTTTATTAGGCCTGAATCCAAATTGGCAGGGGTTGAGTATGTTTTGGGAGATAAGGTAGGAGTAGATTCGTTTATGAATTAATTTTTCGAAGATTTTTGAGAGAGGGTGTAAGTTGGATATTGGCCTATAGTTATTCAACTCTGTTTGGTCTCCTCCTTTGTGGATCGGGGTGACCCTTGCTATTTTGAGTACTGTAGGGAAGGTGGAGGATTCAATGGATTTGTTAAAGAGTGTTGCAATGATTGGTGATAGCATTTGTGACACTTTTTTGTATATAAAGGGTGGTAAGGTATTTAAATCCCCCTGCCTTTTTTTTTAGTGCGTTGATAATAAGGGAGACTTCTTTATGGGTTAGTCGGAGCTAGGAACAGTGTGTTCAGGTAGTTCCCGGTGAGGTAGTCATTTGGGGGGGTATCTGAGCTTGGGATTTTATTGGCAAGGTTTTGTCCTATAGTGGAGAAGAAATCGTTGGCTGTTTGCTGTTTCTGTTGGTGGGATTTGGGGGTTCATCTGATTTTGCTAATTTTATTTCGCGATATCTTTTTTGTTCCAGAATTTCTGATGGGTTTTCCAGGTCTTTTTATATCACCTCGTAAGTTGGATAATCTGTTCTCATAATACAATTTTTTTGCCCTTTTATCAGGCTGGTTAGGGATTGACGAGTAACGTTTTGTTTGGTCTCTGGTTATGTGACCCCATTCTGTACTGTTTTTCATATTGGTGTTTTGTATTTATGGATTTGAGAATGCTGGGTGTTAGCCGGGGAAATGTTCAGCCCTCTTAGCTGTCATCTGTTTTTTTTTTTTAGGGCAGTGCTTGTTATAGAGGTATTGGTCTTTTTAGAAAATTATTAATACATTCGTCAATATCTGTATAGATTTCTAGCTCAGTGTGCCAATCAATGTTTGCTACTGCTGTTGAAGTTATTAATGGCTGCCTCATTGTGAAGTCTGAAGGTGACTTTAGTAGTGTCTTGGGGTAGTTTACCAAGAGTTGTTATGTAGGAAAGTAGGGTAGTGGTCTGTGGTATTATCTGTAATTATGCCTGATTTTAAAGGGGATATGGTGTTGGTCCAGATGTGGTCAAGTAGGGAAACACTAGTCTCTAACTCTTGTAGGTTTTGTTACTGTTGGTAGTAACATACAGTTACTCATTGTGTTTGTGAATTCAGTAACGTGTGGGTCCTGGTCTTGCAGGAGATTTATATTGAAGTCACCTGAGAGTAGTAAGTGATCTTTGTTCATGCGTGCATCAGTTATCATACTTGTAATAAAGTTGGTAGAATTACCGACAATATATAAAGTAAAAGGACACAAGTGCAACTAATGTGACATTTATTGTAGCAACGTTTCGCTCTCCAGGAGCTTGATAAAGCTCCTGGAGAGCGAAACGTTGCTACAATAAATGTCACATTAGTTGCACTTGTGTCCTTTTACTTTAGTTATCATACTTCCTAGGTTTTGACTAAATTGGCAAATGTTTGACTGTGGAACTCTGTAGATGTTTATCAATGTGAGAGGTTTTTGTAGGTGTTTGGATTTGAATTTGGCTATTATATATTCCCCATGTTCATCCCTTGTGCAAGTTAACAACACTTACAAGAAACAACTACTTAAAAGACTGAAATAAAGAATCCATGAATGTAAAAAAAAAATTTTTGCGGTAGACTACATAATTTAGTCCTAAGCATCAAATTCAAAATGGAATGAAGTAGAACTGACGTAATGCCTTTCTTGGTGATCCACATTACTGGAAGTAATAACTTTAATGAAAACAAATATATTCTGAAAATGCTTAAAATGCATGTTTCAATGTAATCTGCAGCGTGTTCGTGCGCGTGGACAATAAAACAGAGTATACAAGTATACAAGGCATGCAGTCAACCATCATTACAGCATCCACTGTAAGAGAGATATGAGTAGTTTCTGGTTGCTTCTTACATAGACTAAATATTTGATCCAGAGTATTTTGAATGACAAACTCAATACTGTTGTTTTATCATACAGGCTTCCAAGGTTGCTTACCCACACCTAGTTCCTGCAGTTAAGAAATGCTACAAATTATTAACTTATTAAAAAGTAAAAATAAAAAAAAAGACCACCATCTTTTTATCTGATTACATTTAAATGGGATAGTAGCACCCTAAACATCTCATCCTCAAACATAATTATGTTTAATTATTCAAGTAATAGGCTTATTAATGTTAATCAGAAAGACGTAATGTAAATATTGGAGTCTACAAAATACCTTGCAAAACATTGTGATTTGGCATATATAGGTCAGAGGGGAGGAATTTTTAAACCACACTGAATGAATAAAAGATCAGTCAGATACATTCAAAACAACTGTTATTTTTCAGTATGTCCAGTGCTTGAACCCCATATTGACTGGGGAAAGAACTGAAATAATTCGTTACACGAAGTGCAGCAACAAAATAGTAATGGTGGTCTGCTATGACAGCAACCATCCCACCTGACTATCTACACACAATCCTGATCACTCAAGC